TATCCACCGCCTTCTCTGTAGCCCAGCTCCTTGTCCCCTCGAGGTCGTGGGCCCCCGGGCGCAGTTGCACCGCCTGCCGCACTCGTCAGCCACGTGACTGCCCCTGTGTGCCCCCCCCCCCGCCCCCCCCCCCCCCCCCCCCCCCCCGGTGCCAGCCTGCTTCAGCATCACGGATCACGGCAGACTCGTTCTGGATCTAATTTCGTAAATGTATTCTGTTCCCCATTTTGAGCGAGGCTGACTTCGGAAGCCATCAAATCAAGTCGTGGGTGCGGTACACGTGGGTGGTGTTTGCAGCGTTCTCGCAGCACAAAGCTGTCGCGAAAAAAAGAGGCAACGTTAGGGGGGTGGGGGGGGGCGATGTTATTATGTAGCAGCAAGAGCCGCTGTGCCATCTACATCACTTGCTAGTTTTGAAACGACATGGCCGTTTTTTTTAAACACAACGTGATGTTCACCGGACAAACTAATGCATCCGCGGTTCGGGACCCCGGATATTTGGAACCGGCAAACCCCATCCACCTGTTTACACTGCATACATGGAGTTGGGTTCTGTAACGTGATCTCATTAGACCCAAAATATCTGCTGGAAGCTTATAGAGCGACGAACTTACTAGTTTTAGAAATACAAAAAAATCACGAGTGTGCAGAATTAATCAATTTTGAAGTATGCAAGAAAGTATTTTTTCGTCACCTATTGCAAATTCAAGTCAATCAACACCGTGTAACTGATTGCTTTCCGTTATAGCTGACTTTTCAAGGTCCGAGACAGTTTTCTGGCGAGTCCAAGTCATACGGTAATTTATTTTCGCCAAATTGCAAACTCGCCGTCGGCTCTAACGCACGGCGCGCATTCCGCGCGGGCGGAAGAGGCTGCCGTCGTTGTTTTGGCAGACAAACACGCCGCGTTCGCGCAAAAACCACCGCATTCACTGCAATTTACGAAATCGCCCTGCCGCCTGTGAAACGCACTCCCCGCCGTGGCTGCACTTCTGCCGGCGGAACGATCCTTGGTGGCTGGCTGGGCTTAGGGGCGAGCCTGTGCAATGGGATGCAAGCATCTGACCTCACAAATCCATGTATGTCCCCCCCCCCCCCACTCCCTTCCTCATGTCGTGCTCCACATGTGGAATAGTGAGATTCCACAAAATGAGAACTGTGAATATCGTGATTATTTACGTAATCGATGACTCTACCTATTATGAGTTCGATTACTCGACTGATCGGATAACACGAAAGTAGTTTATGGAGGGAAAAAAAAGCATCTCCTCCGTTCCCACATGTGCCACTGGACGGGAGGTGACTACCGGCCGGGCTTTTTCGACAAGGAGGATGTGCGGGCAGCCGCCGTTTATTAAAGGGGCCCGAGTAATTGACCACAACTAAAGTAGTTAATAACTTGTTTCGCTCATAATAATGTTTCAGCTGATCAATCGACTCAGTAGAGCAATTCCTCCCAGTTCTACACACGTTGGGCGAGACGACAGCACAATGAGTGGGAAGAAGGAGTGTCAAGGATATGCGGTAGCGTGGCGCTTAGCGCAATTGTGTTACAAATCTGGCGGTCAGAGTTCGATTGCCAACAGCGGTTAACATCACCGGTTATTATCTGAACTGGTCCTGGCGCGGTTCAGATAATAAGTCGATTAATGTACGTATTATCATGGGACCTCCTTTTCCAGTACCAAAAAATATGAGAATAGGTTTTCCCCTTGTAAAAGGTTTCAGTTTGGTGTTTTAACAACTTAACACCTGTTTTGTTGCCAGAAAAAAGGGGAAAACCTATTCTCATATTTTGGTACTGGCAAAGGAGGTCCCATGATGTAGCTGCTCACCCCGAGCTCTCATTACTTTGATAGTGGCATTGTCTTTGTGCTGTACGCGTTTTGGCGTCCTCTGGTCTAACACCGTTTGAGACGAGGCTCAAAAGAAAGCTATCTCTCGTGTGGACCAATCAGTTTCAAGGACAATGCATATATTATCAGAGTATATTCTTGGTTCTTTCGGTAAAGTCACGTAGAAGGGAAACAATAAAATAATAAAAATATAAAACAATACAATTCTCACGACGTTTCGACTGCAACACAAGCAATCATCATCAGGTGTGAAAACCACACATTTCTTGCTGTGGGTTTCACACCTGATGATGATTGCTTGTGTTTGTATGTTTTTTGTTTGCATTCTGACCACAAGTATTGTGGTTAATGCAGACATGATTCCTTGTAAAAGGTTTTGGTTTGGTGTCTGAACAACTTAGCACCTGTTTTGTTGCCAGAAAAAATGGGAAAACCTATTCTAATGTACGTATGTTGAACTTCTTTCGCACCGTACGTAGTCAACCATGCTAATCGGAGGTGCGAAAATGCCAAAAATTGCTTCTCAGGAGGGTTCAATAGTGCGGTCTGCCCTAGTGCATGCCCTTTTGCCAGCAGCTGGGTGAACAAAAAATTATAGGGCTGCACCATTATCTATCTTAAGAATCGTATTCTTTGTCATTTTGACCAAATCTATGGCTTCATCGTCTTTAACGTGTGATTTTTTTACTTTTTCAAAACATATATAATTTGTTCATAATAAAGGTTTTTGGGTTAGATCGCGTTTATTTATAAATGTGTCGTAACCCTCCACCACCCGACACGGCCAATCAGCAAAAAAAGTGTCACGTTGACAAAAGACAAATAATTCACTACTTCAGCCTTTTGTCAACGTGACACTTTTTTTGCTGATTGGCCGTGTCGGGTGGTGGAGGGTTACGACACATTTATAAATAAACGCGATCTAACCCAAAAACCTTTATTATGAATAATATTGGTCGCGAAAGCCTACGTGTTATATATAATTTGTGCTATCCTATTAGGTGTGGTTTAAGGACGTTTTAATTTTGAAGACGTGAGCTTCTATTCTATTTTTAGCATCATTATTTTTCAGAGACCCGCCAGTTATTATTTGTCTAACTCTTAACAATGGTATTGCCTGAAATGTTGTACACTTTTCCCAAGTACATCAGTTGGCAGATTGTCTAAAGGAAATGCCACTAGGTATACGTGTCTGCAGTAGGCAGAGAGCGTTTATCTACAGTACATATCCAGAATGTTTTGTCAATTATTGGCTGGATGAGGGCCTCACCACGGCTTGAGGATAGATTGACCATACTTCACCACGCTGGTCAATTCGGATTGGTTGGTGAAGGTGTGGGGAGTTCAGGACAGTGGATCAGTGTACATACAAGTTAAGAGCAAAAACATTAATACGCAATTTATTTTCCTCTCACGTGTCTTTATAAATATAAGCTTGCCAAAAAAGATAATACTTTTTTATCTTTCAGTTGCAGTGAGGCAAATCGCATTTTATTATTTTTTTCAAAATGTTACATTATTTACTGCCTTGAAATTAAATAATTTTCCTGCCTCAGCGAATGTTTGTATGAAAAGCAAACGCGTACGTAGCTGTGTTTGCATTTCTGAAAGGAAATTATATTTAACTATCCAGATTTATGAGCCTAAATCCTAGTTTAATGTTTCGCGGTTGCATTTACCTCATAGATCAGGGCAACTTTGGGCAAGCTTTCGACGTAACTGAATGTTATCAAACTGGATTTGAAGCTTTCGTGACTGCATTGGTTATTTCGGTAAAGTCACGTAAAATGAATTAAATAAAATAATAATAGAATACGACGTTTCGATTGCAACACAAGCAACCATCATCAGGTACGAATGAATGAGAAAACAAACCGAGTAAACTTGGAAATATAATGGAATACAAGACAGAGAGTCGGCCAACACCACAATCAACACCCCACCTGGTTGATTTACGTTCTTCCAAAGATTCCTAAATGTGAGAGAGACAAAACACAGACACGGAGACACACAGACAGACACACAAGCAGAGAGAGACAACACAGAGACACACAGAGAGAGACACACAACATAGACACACAGACAGACACACAAGCAGAGAGAGACAAACACAGATACACAGAGAGAGAGAGACACACAACATAGACACACAGACACACAAGCAGAGAGAGACTCACACAGAGACAAACAGAAAGACAACTTCTCTGTCGATGCCTTAAATAGAGAGAGGGGGCGGGCAGAGAGGCAGAGGGGGAGTTGTGTGGAGTGTTATCGACAGCGTTGTCTCGTGCCACCGGGTGCCACAATCTTATGGGCTGTGTGACGCATGCTTATCAATTATATGGAAGCAGTAGAAATATTTACAAAGTAAATTCCTCGTACACTTTAGAATAAGTGGGGGAGAATACGTTTGTGATGTGTAACTTTAGTCCAGATCATCGGAGAGTGCCCAGTTGGTAGATCGCAAATGGATGGGAGCACTTGAGACACCCACGAGCTGTGATGACTTAGCCAGGATTAAAATAATAATTAAAAATAAAAGTAAAAGAGTGTTGATTTGAAGCTTTCGTGACTGCAGGAATCCATACTCTTTGGTTCTTTTGGTAAAGATCGCCACACAAGCAATCGTTTTCAGACGGCTGCTTGTGTGGCGATCGAAACGTCGTGATCTATTATATTTTCTACCTACGTGACTTCACCTAAAGAAACAAATAATATAAAAGAGTGTTGTTTTAGTCGACGACAACCTTGTGGATTTCATTTGGTATCTTAGTAGTCAAAACATTCCACTCTTGAATGTTGGCTTGCGGGGCACGCAGTCACTCCGCCCTTCCCTGGTTATTCTCAGGTCAGGCCATCGGTAAACATGTAGCCGTATTCTTTGGGTCTTTCGGCAAAGCGACGTAGATAGAAAATAAGATTAAAAATAATAAAATATATAATAGTTGTGTGGAAACCCTCCCCCTAGAGGCGGTTAAATCTTGACAAAGCTTTCGTGACTGCAGGAATTATTATTCTTTGAGTCTTTCGGTAAAGCCACGTAGATTGAAAAAAAAGATCTAATAGTCACGAAAGCTTTAAGCCAAGATTTAAACCGCCTCTACGGGGAGGGTTTCCACACAACTATTAGACCTTTTATTATTTTTATTATTTTTTCCTTCTACGTGGCTTTACCGAAAAATAATACAGTTACGTATTATGTTTTCTATCTACGTGGCTTTACCGAAAGACCCAAAGAATATGTAGCCGGTTACTAATCTTGGTCTTCCTCGGTGCTCTGCCATCTCGAATAACGTTACGAGATGATCTTGAACCTGCGTCCATCTTCCTTGAGGCCACGTAGTTAACTGGGTCTCGTCAGTCAGTCGCGCTTTGGTGGTTGGTGGGGTTAGTCGTCGCCATCGTCGCACGTGATCGCGTTCGCCCCACTCGTTGTCATCGCCGACACCCTGAAGGCGAGCCTTCGGTAGCGGCGAGTCCGCGTGTTCAGCACGCGCCTCGAGACATCACAAACAGGAGCGGCGAGAGGAGGTGGCGACAACGGCAATTAAACACTCGATAAAAGTGTCACTGGCCAAATCTCAGAATGTCAATCGAACGAAGGCAATGAAGCTCAAAGCAGGGGACTAAAGATAGCGTATCATACTCTTTGGTTCTTTCGGTAAAGTCACGTAGGTAGAAAAATAAAAATATATATATCAAGACGTTCCAAATCAAGATAGGGTATCCCGTCTCCAATTAAAGTTAAACCCACTTTTTAAACATAACACTGTCCGTGGCGCGAACATCAATCCCTACCATAGCATTATCCCCGTGCCCTAACTTATAACGCGAACTTAGAAAACATAAAACAACCTTAGCACAAATCATAGTAATAATTCTAGCACGAGCATTAGAGCTATCTCTCACACTGAGGTTTGACCAGGTGTTGCCGTTAGCAGAGAGCTTGACTCACAGGAAGTAGGACAAGTTTATTTCCAGATCGGTTGTCTTACTTAACCAATCCTCCAGGGTGGATAAAATAATGCACCATTTTCTTTGAAGCGAAAAGGGGTTGTGATATTTGCCAGATGCCCCTCTGTCATAGGAATGTGGAATGGTTTATCATTGGTTCACGAGGGAAAGACTACCCAAACAGTGCGTCTTTGAGGATAGAAACACTTTGACTTTTGGTATAACATTTAACTTATTCTATCTGTAATAATCACATTGGATATAATTGGAACGCGGTAATCGGGCTTATCCTGAAATTTTCTTACATTTTCAACCAATCCAACTATACCGCTGCCATTAAACCTATTCCTAACACGAATCTTTTATCATCACCATCATCATTGTCCATTGTCTCTACACCGATTGAAGGTCTCCCCAAGCCATCGCTATGTCTCATAGTTTCGTGATGCAAAAATCCATTGAGAAACTGACCATTAGTTGATATTATCACCCCATGGTGGACGTCTTCTCGGGCTAACCATTACCCTAACACTATTCCTCACTATAACAATAACACTTAACAACAACAACTTTGCCACGACTGGAACATTAATCTTAAACACAATCCAAAAAAATCGCACCGTGATGCTATCTCTTATCTTTGTGTACACTTATACTGCATTAACATTAACCCTAGCCCAATTTGGTCAGTGGGTGCTCCCACCTCTTACAAGGTGCATTGACCAGCGTGGAAGAGTAGGCCAAAATAAAAACCTCCAGAGGGACACTTTCCAGAGCTCTAAGTGCAGCCCCTTCCGCCAGCAGTGGAATGAGCAATACATTTTAGATTCCTCACACCTTTACCTACCCATTGCAATAACCCTAACACTGTCCTAACATGAACCGTGATCCCCAGCTCCTAAACCCCCCAATCCCTCTCTTAACACATTAAATCCGCGCTGTGTGAAAGTCGTGCGAAACAAAATCCTTTAAATATAATTGCGGTGAGGGTTTTTTTAAATATTTGCAGCGCTGCACCTCGGCCAATGTCACTTTAGTAATAAAAGTGCGCAATTACTCCTCCTCCTCCCTCTTCCCAAAGACCCCCACCGCCATCGCAAGCGAGGCCTCGCGCAACGAGGACATCGCGCAGTTAGCGCGAGACTTGCGACTGAAATCGTCGTTTTTAACCCTTGCCTGCAAGCGTATCGTTAATTAGCGAACTCCAGTAAGATTAAATTTATTTTGGCGTCTTATTTTAAAGAGGTCAGTTCTTTCGCAGATAGCACGCTCATAATTAAAGGGAGTTATGGATATGTTCCAGATTTGATGGTTAACTAATAACGAAAAAAAAATCCCCAAATCAGAGCTTGACATGAAATTTAAGACGATCCAATAAAAACGTGTTTGTGGTTTATTCCGAAGGGAGAAGTGGCGGTGCTAATATGACGTTGCTTCGAGCGACGTCACTTTTGTGAGCCTCAAGACACACAACTACGTAACAATGTAAATGAGACTCTTTGGTTCTTTAAATGTAAATGATCAGAAATATTTAAAATCTGAAAAAAATGCATCCTAAATTTTACTGAAAAAAAATCTCCCAAATTATTTTTCCTCCAAAAAAGGGAGATATTACATTAAAAAACACAACCTTTCAAATTAAAGCCACTACACATCTAACCACCAATCTCAATGCACTCATTCAATCTTTTAGCAATTTTCTCAATAAGATATGGTGCCATCGCGTTCACAATATCCAATCACCTACGGAGAAGATAGAGAGGATCATGGTGAAATCAGTCGGCTATCTACAAATATGGTTATAGCGTGAAGCGTGATCACTATATTTATCGCTATATTTTCAACTATGGTTGGCTGCTCTTGGTCACAAAAAAACATATTACTAATCCTGCGATTCCTAAAACATTTTTTCGTCGTCCAAAACGATCGGCTTTGAGTAATGAACTGCAGCGTTGTTCTTTCTGTAAATAGACCCGCTACCTGCCCGCTTATAGCCTACGTTCTCTATCCACTGCTGCATGCTCTTGTGTTCCGCAAGCCTTTGCTGCAAATTAATCTGCGCTGCGCAGCACGGAGAATACTCTTCCCTGGCCGTGCGTATCCGTGCGTTCTAGAGCCTTTTTAAAACGCTCTCGGCCCCCCTGTTATATCCCCCCCCTCCTCCTCCTCCTCACCACCCCCCCACTGCAAAGTGTCTATCACTGGGCATTAATTGTTTTGTAACTTTCTTTTTCACGCAACGGACACAAAAAAAACACTGAAAGTAAAAGACCACGGTGAGCTGTGTTGCGTGGATGTCTGCCGCAAAGGCGTGGGAGTGGATGTCTTGCTGAATGACTGGAAGCGAGATGTCTTTGTTGCCTGAGCTGGTAAACACTACACCGGCATGACATTGGAGAATATGGTCGCAGAGAAGAATAGCTTTGCTTCGAAAAAGTTGAAACCCGAGCTGTTTACATCGGTTTATGATGCACACCATTCTCAAAGGATACACAAATCGTTAAACGATACGATACGATGAAGAGCGATCGAAACATTTGTCTGAAATTGTCCGTGGGATTTAACAACTCGCATAATAATAAGAAGAATAAGAATATTGAAACCACATAGAGAGAATCTGCTGAGCTCATTTGAAAGCAATCAAGTGTTCAATGTCAAAAGTCGTAACAAAAATTAAGATAATGATGACGATGAAGGTGATGATGACTAGAGCTACCAATGGCATCGGGAATATTTTGAGAAATTAAAAACACCTCGGGACGGAAGAACATAAAAATGGAAAATAAACAAAAAAAATGAAATCCTCGTGAAGAACAAGGTCGCATCTGCAAGCCCTTTACTCGTACAGAATGTACAGTGCCACTTTTCATTTGTTCAAGGAGTCATTTTTTTACCGAGCCTCTTGAAGAAGGTCTTTGGGGATGACACCGGGCTGGCTGCGAGGAGGATCGTCATGGCGATGGGAGGGAGGCTGGGGGTAGGTTGATGATGGCAGCGCGCAAGAGATGTTGCTGGAGGTGAAAATCGCCCACCAGAGAGATGGCGATTGGTTTTGATGCGGGTTGCTACATTACAAGGGCGGCGTGCGGGGTTGGTGGCTGCTTTGGATTGAAAAACGATGGAGGAAGAAGCTGCGGCGGTGGTGGTGGTGATGGTGACGGTGGTCGTGGAGAGACGAGTTCACGTTGTGGTGAGTTGGACACCCCGTTTTTTTACCATTTGTTTTGTTGAGTCTTTAATTGTGGAAAGATATAACCGACCTTTTTCTCTAATGGGTATTCTGATATTTTCCATTACCCATTGTGCGACACAACGGCTACACACAAGTTCAATTTATCTAGATCACACAAGTTCAATCAGTGACCCACAACCACTCACAATAATGAGTAACTCAATTAGGTTTGGAATGTTTTCATTTGTTGAGCACTCAGTTTTCATGAAGGAACACTTTGAGGTAATTAGTAGACTTAGCAAAGGGATGATTAATGGGATACAGTATGAAAAAAAAATACGCACTGAAATAACAACAATTATTTAACTTTAAATGTAAATATATGTACCTAAACACGCTTTGGGTGTGTTTCTGTAGTGGCTGGTATCGCCTAACTCTTACATCTCTTTTCCACCACAATCGAGCCGTGCTTGGGGTCGTGCCGAGCCAGCCTGGCGTGGTTCAAGAGGCGCCAAGTTGTTCTTTTTTTCCTACTGCTGAATCCGACCTGTGCCTCAAACGTCACCTTAGTTCAGTCGCATGTAGATGCAACGTGAAACAAAAATCATGAGCCTGACGCCGATCACTGCTCGGCCTCGCGCCTCATGTCGATGCGTTGTGAGGCCAGAGTGTCACGGTTTGGTTCTGGCTCAGCTTGCCAAATGGCCAATGGAAAAACAACCCGTGCCGTGAGGGTCCCGTGCTGGCACGGCTCGGATGTGTGCTCAGTGGATCGGGAATATTGGTGAACTATTGACAACATTTTCAAGGAGTCGAGGATTCATGGCCTAATAGAGGCACTGTGTTATTGATGCAGGGTGTGTCATGGTTATTATTTAAAACAATGCTGTCTACTGTGAAGTAGACATCGAAGACTCGTTGGCATCTTCATTTTTAGAGATTAAGGCAAATGCAATTGGAAACATTTACTGCACCTTAGTAAAGACGGATTTTTATTTAACCGTTATGAACAAGGTGACCCCTTGTAAAGGAGATTATTACAAGTGGAACAATTTAACTCCTGCGATAAATAATAAATTCCACAAATTGTCACGATTCAGGGTAGCGTTTATTTTCAATAATTTGTTCTATTTAACAATGTGTTAAGTTTAGCGGCCTCTGGTGGCTGCAGGGGTCACGTGAGCCCATTATGTACAACATGTACGGATGAAAGTAATCGATTCTCACACTCGTGACTCTTTGCATGTATTGTGAGTGAAAGAATCGATTTTAATCGACGGATCTTTACACGAGTCGTGATTATGCGTTTCAAAGCACTCTCACCTTATTAGAAAAAGAAAAGATTATGGTTAAATAATAAATATCGCAGGCTCCAGCCACCCATGAATAAAGCAGGTGTTAAAGTGTTCTAAGCCGAACGTATCAGCCCAGTCACCAATGACTGCACAAAATGCAATGTACAATTATGATTCATAATTTCAATCAGTGCACCATAATTAATGCCTTAATGGGCTTCATTGTTCCGTGTGGTGAGAGTCGTGTGAAATCACTGGGATATGGTGGCGTGTAAATAAGGTTGCCACCTGCCCTGGTTTTCCCCAAGATCGTTCCTCTTGTTGGGGCAGCTGTCCTGGGCAATCTGCAAAGTATTCCCGTGACATTTGAAGGATCCGCATGCAGTTCTCTCTCCTTCTGGCATTGTGAGAAATTTCTTTTCCCACGATACATCTAGGTATTTTCATATCTCAGAGCTGGCAGCCCTACGTGTGAACAAAGAGCAAACGTGATTGACTCACCGCTGCACGAGAATTTAATACAAATTGTGACCGTGGGAAAAGGGTATGGAGCAAGGATTATCCTACCAAACATTGTGGATTGAGGCCTGCATTGACTTGCATTGATCACATATGCATAATCAACAATATAAATCAAGATACAATCGAGAGATGTATTCATAATAGAGATGTAAGAGAGAGATGGGAAACGCGTTTGGAAGTGATAGAAGCTGGAGATGAGATACACGAGAGATGTAGTCAAACAGCTGGAAAGAAAGAGAACAGAGATGGCAGCAATGTAGATTATACAGAGGACGTAGAAGAGGTAGAAGGGAGAAGTGATGTAAACGTACATCGATAAAAGAAAGTACAGTAATAATAGTTTTTTACCCTTTTATCTGGCAACAAAACTGATACCTTTTTTTACAAGGGATCATGTTTGCATTAACCACAATACCTGCGGTCAAAATGCAAACAAAAAACAACACTGATGACGTATGCATTGTCCTTGAAATTGATTGGCCCACACCCGAGACAGCTTTTCTTAGAGCCCAGTCTCACATGGTGTTGGACCAGATGACGCCAAAAAGCGCAAAAAATGTATCAGTTTTGTTGCTAGATAAAAGTGTAAACAAACCTATTATTATATTTTGCTAGTGGCAAAGGAGGTCTCATGATGAAGAAATTACAGTATTTATCTACTAACAGAAGCTGCAGTGCAACTCATTTGCCAGGCCTGCACCCCCAACACGTCACGTAACTACGGCATTTAAATGCTGACTCACGTGGTTAACTTCATTCAATTTCAAATCCACTGCGGATCGTATTTAACAGTAAATTTGAATGATGCCACGGGCCACATTAAATGAGCCGTCTGGGATCGAGATTTGCCCAACCGCCCCCCCACTCACTCTGCCACCCCCTCCCGGTTTCTCCGTTCTGGCCCTGGCATAGAGCAAAGGAAATGGAGCACACACAGGACAACAGCAGTCACTGGCAACAGAGTTTTAAGGACCAAGTACAGATCAACAAGGCCACATATAATAGTGTCCACAAGACGGAGCAAAACAAACAAAATAAAAAATCTTGCGAGCAGACAAAGGGAAATGAGAGCAAAGGATTTGCTTATGATTGCATCTGCAAGACAAACGGTCGTTGTTGTCAGCCCGTAACGTCCCACTGATGGGCAAACCGCACCAAATGTTATTTTATTTGTTCAGTTGCCCCTGTCCGAAAGTGGTCTCTGAATGCTTTGGCATCTCAGCTCTCGTCAGCTGTTCTCATGACGCGTCCTGCCCATTTTCGATTGATTTATTATGCTTTATCAGCAGCGACATCGGTGACCCCTGCCATTTATTTATTTATTAATTCCTCAACCTACCTCTGCGACCTACTCCTAACATACTTCATTCGAAAGACAACATTTACATATTGTTCATAAAACATGGCAAGCAAGCAAACACGTAAAACCCACTCTCATTACCCATCCATCTAACCCCAGTGAGGCTGTAAACCATCTCCAAAAACCCGAGGCTGTAAACGTCAAAATTCCACAGGGACCCGATCGTCGCAGGGCAAAAAATTGACGGTGTTCGGTCCGCGCGTCCCCCGGGTACAAATTGATGGAGTAGGGGGGACCAGAGTGACTGAACAGGGAGGTCAGTCACATTTCAGTGGCTGCAGAGTGATCGCGTAAAAGATGCACGAAGCGCAGAGACTGGAGCGTGAAACCCCTTTCTGCCTCTTGGCCGGGAACGGGCGCCCAGTGTCAATCGCCCGACCATTATGAACCGGCCGCCCAGAAAGCCTTTGTTAGGCACGTTCGGAAAGCCGACACGGCCCCCGGTGTCCCGATACAAGATCTCAACAACGGACACATTTGGCGATTGTTCTCTCGATGATATTTTGTATTTGGCATTATTATTGAACATTGTGAAAATGAAAAAGGTTAATTGTCGTAAATTTTAATATGCTGGTAGGCCAAGTATGGCGATCGCATTCAGGGAGTTTGCTAAGTGATTGCAGATGTTGTTCTGTTAGCAGCCCTACCACGACACGATAGCTCTTTCCTGATGGATACCTGAGATAATAAGCTCATCTTTTATTTAATGCCAGTTGAAATATCAGTGATCCCAATATTTGAGAAGAGTTCAGTGGCTTCAATGAATTACAACAAAAAAATCCAATGTGCTCCTCTGCTTAAATAAACATTGAGCGGTACTCAACTTGATCTCGAACCAGTGCTGCTTTCCACATTCACATGGAAAGTACTAAACAACAACAAAAAAATCTATCTATAACACAAGCTAAAAAAACAACCAGATTACATTTCGTTTATACACTTTATTTGGATGAATTCCAGCTCTGAGAATAAAAAAACCATCAGGTTAATTGTCATGTGACAAACATCATTGTAGATAAGCCAATAATGATACAACTTCAGAGATCTGTCGTTCTCTCACACGAAGGGCTGCATCGCTTCACGAGAAATCCCAAATTAATTATTCGTCACGTGACATGATGCCGATAAGACTAAATTTGGGGAAATGACACAAACCACTGGATCTATACCCGTATCTAATATCCTGGCTAGACTGTATCAGAGTACAACACCAAACGTCAGAGGATGTCCTGGTTGAGATTGCTGTCTCGGGCAAAAATTAAGTTACGGTGGCTATTTGTGTGTCCCCCATTTTTATTTCTTTACAGCTGGTCAATCAACACGATGCCCCCCACGCATCTCCGTCCGCAATGGAGCCGACACATCAGCGAAGGACGTGGCCCCAGCCATCATCGGGATCCACCTCGACCCGCATCACCCGAAGGGCACGGTCTGAGGTAGAGGCCAGAGGAGAACCAGAGTAGATCGGCAGTGGCACAGTGGCAATAAAATCCATACTACGTGCCGGTAAAATGTCCAAGTTTGTTCCCTCAAGCCGCTGCTCGGCCTGCCCCAGTCAAGCACAAAATATAATGGTGGTTCAATATATTTTTTCCTTTTCATTTTCAAATTTCTGAGCTCTCCCTGGTGCCCGTACTCTCCTCCCACACGCTCCCGTTCATCGCCATGAAGGTGGCATTGGATATGAGCGAGGGTGTAGTTGGTCCTCAAGAACGAGGCTCGGCTATCTATAGCTTTTGTGGACCTCTCACGGGAATGTGAACAACCGACGGGATTCTCCTTGGCCTTTGCAGGGGAAAAAAGCGAGAATATTACTGCAGTAAAACAATATTTGTGCGCGCGCGTGTGTTTGCGGTGTTCGAGTGAATCTATACAAGGTATATACCAGACGCATTTATCAAAGTCCATCATGCTAACATGTGTGCAGACTGCAGCTGCATTTGCTCATCGATTGGCTGTCCCACCGTGGCGATGTAACAGTGTCTGTTTGTAGGCACGCAGAGGCAGTCGACGCTGGCCATAAACAAGATGGGTGAAGTGGATGTGTTGTTCAAGCAGAAATGTGTGTGTAAATCTCTACGGCTGCTGAGATTCACAGCAGACTGCCTGCTTTATGAAGGCACACGTGTGAAAGCGATGTTGGGAAAGCACATCAAGAAAATTCTGTGAAATAAATAATGCCAATAAAGCTGGGAGCTGTAGGCCACAAACGCTAGCCACCTCGACAGACGCACCGAAAGATGAACACATAATTCAGGCCATCCTCCTTGGCAGATGCGGATAGCTGATGCACACATTGTAAATGGTAAACTCTCCAGTCGCGTGCGACTGTGGTCATCCCGAACAGAGAGAGTACAACGTATAACCACGCAACGATCGATCCACAAAATACACTGTTCCTGAACGCAGTTATCTTGCTTGACCGCCTGAATGTGAAATTGTAGTTGTTGCTCTGCATCTACTGCATCAGCAGCCGTACGAAAGAAGAAGAAGGCCATCCTCCTCACGTTATAGGCAGAGTAGAGAGGCCCATTGTAGATTGGTGTGAAATTGGAAAGGCACAGGGTGTGTAACACGATTGGTGCAACACGATGTTGACATATACATACAAACAGTACGAGGTGATTCGCTTGTCAATGCAATAGATGGAATTATAACCATGATGTATTCAATTTGGTGTTTATGATTACAGCAGTTTATCAATCGGGCAGGAAGGGTGACTAATTACTACACTTTGTGGGTTTCGTGTCTACTGTCATATTGTGAAAAAGGGACTTTGATAAATACTTTCAATGCATATATAAGTTTACAAAAATCCTTTGCGAAAATATATACTTTTCTGTTATTTGGAGAGGAAGACACTTTTATTTTTATCCATTTTCTTCAAGGTACTTTTGCAACACGATACCTTGAAGAAAATGCATGCTGCCGCAGTGCTGTGATGGTCAGCACACTGGGCCTGCAATCCCAGAGGTCGCCGGTTCACGCCTTTGCCACGGCCGTTGAAACAGTGGCGCGAAAATAATTGCCCTCTCTCTGGCCTCTGTCCACCAAGCAGTATAAATGGGCTCGCCACGGTTCCGAGATTGGAAGGTCACGTGAGGTACGGTAAAAGTCTGCATACTCGCACCTCTTCCAAGATGTCTGCCCAGGCGTGGAGGAGGAGGCCAAAATACCCTCTCTAGATGGAGCTCTGTAGAAAGTTCTAAAGAGCTCTCTGCCTCTATCAGTGTATGAGCAATACATTGCAGGCCCCGAATCTCTTTCGCTTACCTTCAAGGAATCATCCCGGCTTCAATATTGATCTATTTATTTCCATTGGTGGGGAAAATGTATTTTTTTTAATGTTTACTTTTACACGTGTATAATATACACACATCTCCATACTCACGTGGGGCAATCACAACTTTTTTAGAATGGGATTCTGAAACAAATCAGGTTGGCGTCACGTGACACGATTTCTCTCCCGTCACCGGTTTAGCGTTAGCTTCACCCGAGCTTCGTGATGCCACGTGGAGAGTTCCGCAGAGGAGGCAACCTCACAGTCAAAATCTAAACGCCGCCCGATTCATAAATATGGGCTTCCATATTGAGCGTAGTCATCTGCAGCTTGTTTTCGAGACAAAACAAGTGGTGGGACACAGACGAATCTCAATTTCGCCGTCAAACCCATCGCAGCGGCGCAGACCGAAGAGTCAGTCAGATTACGTCTTAAAATGCCACGACACTGCAATTCCCCCCCCTATCCCCTTATCAAGAAAGCCTGTGAAGATGATTTCTATCAGAATAACAGTTCCAATTGGTTTACATTCCGGGGCCAAGGACATAAGCAATGTCACAATTACACGAGTGATTATCCACCTGTTTAACACGTGGGAGACTTTCGCGACCAATGTCATAATACAGGTTTTTTTGGGTGAGATCGCGTAAATATATACATGTGTCGTTAAACCCGCCACCACCCGACAGCCAATTGGTAAGATTTGTCACGTAAACAGAACATGCCATTTCGTTACTAGTACAGCACACCGGTGTGTTGGAGAGCAAAGCCACATTTACAATCTGAGTACGACGTTTCGCCATTAATTACAACTGGCACCATCAGGCATACAGCCCCTTTTCGTCACTCCAGCCCTAGATGAGAACCTCTCCACGCCCGCGGGACACGGGAGGTTATTTTGCCGCACTTCACTACGCTGACCAGTGCGGGTTTGGTGAGGGCGGAGAGCAGATGTGGGAGCGCGCATGCCCACACCTCCGATTGGCACGGTTGGCTATGCACGGTGCAAAAGAAGTTCATTGTACGATACAACAACGTAATTTTCGACACTGCCCCCTGATGACAACCTTTTTGTGTGCGTGGTGGTGGTGGTGGTGGTCACCCACGCAAGCGCTTTCCACAGCCTCAACACTGCTTAGCTTCCCACATTTAAAATCGGTCGCATTCCGGGATGCTTTGGTCGCAGGCGTGATGCAAGAAGGTCACCCACATCTTGAACGTATCGACAATGTACTCTACGACAAAGGCAACTGTACCGGATGAATTTAATAAGTGGAAAAACGTTGATGATCCACGGTGTATATTTTAGAATAACCCCCCCCAAAAACTGGTTCATTTGCTAAGTATAATCTTCTTTGTAACCCACTATTTTATAAGTGGGTTGCAAGTGGGTGTCCCGGTGGCAAGATCCTATCTGCTTCGCCTGGTTTACAGGAGGTTGTGGGTTCAACCCCAACCCTGAGGCCTGTATCTTTGGAGTTTGCATGTTCTCCCCGTGGTCGCGTGGATTTTTCTCCACGTCCTCCGGTTTTCCCATCGCCCTTTAGAAACATATGTTTAGAAAATTTGGCTTCTATACATTTTCACATAAGGCACTTCGTTCAGCTATCATTTGTGGCCAGGTCGCTTCTGAAAAATAGCTATATAGCTCAGTGGGTCTTACCTGGTAAAATAAAACATAGTTTAGTTTAGAATATCCTGATAGATGGTCGCTAAAATTAACTTGACAATTGACGTTTTTTTTGTCTTCATCCACTTAACTTGCCTGATGTAAACAAAAAGCCGACTTAATGGACAGTGAGGTTCCATGGGTTATCACGTTTTTCCAAGATACTTCCTCATAGGGGGTTTGCCAACTCCGATCGCGGGTAGATGAATATCTCACAATGCCCGGAAGAGGGGCGGAACTGCATGTAAACGCATCGTCTTGTTGTTGAACAAACGACAAAAAACCTGGAACTTTTAATGTCCCGGAAAGACTTTCAGATTTCCCAGGAGGGCAGCTACCTCAAAAAGAGGACAATCCTGGGAAAACCAGGACACGTGGCGATCCTACCGTTATATGATCGTTTTTTTGTGCACTAATCGGTGACTAGGCTGAGATCATTGCCTCGCTAGGCATGAGAATCAAATCATTGGTTTGGAGCTCTGACATGGCTTTCACAAACTCCCCGAGTCATCTGGTTCTGAAGTCCCCTCCACCTGTATACACAAATCAAGTGCCACAATATTACACGGGGTAGCATAAGCATGGGGTGACTATTGGCAAAGTTCCAGGAGTGAGCTGGTACATCGAGTGATGTACTTTTATTATCCCGTTCTCAAAACATTCTGATTCCCCCCTGTATAAAATGAATAAAACCATGGCATGCATAGTATACGGTATACGGTATCAGATTGTGCACCGGTGGTGTGGTTGGTAATTTAACTCGTTAAAACTTAACGCAACACAATTTGAGAAACGAAAGAATCGGGCGGCGGACAAGGAACTCAAGTTGGTCATCGCTGCCCTCGTCGTTCATTGAACAAGCCATGGATGACGTTCGCTGGACCGGGAAAGTTCACCGACTCGCAGCGGCAGCAGCAGCATCCAAAAAGAATGTCCTAAACTGAAAATGTGAAGAAAACAAAATCATCGTTTGATGAGATACACGAGCTTTCACACAACATGCTGTAGGAATGGTGGGTGGGTGGGGGGAAGGGGGGGGCGACCCAGCGACTATTGATGAAATTGTGAAACTGTCATCGCAGTGTGGAAAAGTACAGACAGTGAACATACTCGAGAGGCAGACACCCCCAGCGGAGACCGCGAGTCGATATTCTCGTCTCGTACATCTTCAGTACGCAAAATTCGTGGCCGCAGAGTTTGCCATGCGGACATCTCTCCGTCTTTCTCTCTCTCTCCGTGATCTCAGCTGTCGAGCAAGAGATGAACGGCGCTCACTGTTCAAGCAACGTTGCATGCCCTCTTTTGGGAACGGCTCAAACTTGAATTCATTTATCGCCTTTATTTATCATTCGTAAGCAGGGATTGTTGCCTTCTTGAAAAAAAATAACAACTGTCGTGCTCTTATTTTAAAAAAAAGTCAAACCTTTTTTGCGTTTATCCACCCCAGCCTACGGTTTTGCTGGAGGACGGGGAGATAAACAAAACAAATGAATGTGTCATTTATTTAATGTAACTTACGATTTTTGTTGTTGTTGTTGTTGCCGTCTTACGTTCGTTGCGAGAACTTTTCCTCGCCGTTTTGTTTTCTTTGTTTACGGTGATGCTGCGATCTGCTTCGCCAAAAAGGCCAAGCTTGGTTTGGTTGTTGTTGTTGTTGTTTTTTCGCACGCGCATTCGGACCGCGCACGCACGCGCGGCCCCACGACTCGCGACGCCTCCACGCGGCAATGAGCCGCCAGGGTCACTCACGGCCGTCGACTGCGCACGTGGCGACCGCCTCCTCCCACGCGACCTCTCGTAGACCCGGCCCCGCGGACTCGTGGCGAAAAAAAATCGGCCATCGTTGGTCCGTCGTGGCTGAGATTTTTTTTTTTAAAAAGGGGAAACGCCAACTGGTCGTCGCGAGCAAAGCTACTGGCACGTGCAACGCCTCCCCTTACGCTTTTGAGCTCACTTTAATACGCGAGACGAAACAGGCGGTAATTCTGTGATGGGACGCCATATCAGTGCAACTGTATTTTGTATAGCAGACCCAGGGCTTGAGACAAAGGACTGCCTAGGTTTTCAAGGTCGCGCTGCACAGCTCCCGGCGATGTCCGCTTTCGGGTTGCACCGCCGCGTGTTGTCCGGTGCGATGTCCGACGTTTCGCGCCGCGCGCATCGAGACGGGAAAGGAGCTGCCAGCACGCGTGGGGCGAAACGTCAGTCGTAATGCCGAACAGGACGCGGCTTAAACCCGAAAAAAATGCACATCGGAGAGCTAAGGATGGTTTATTTTAAAATGAGCAGTGCGCGGGGTTCAAAGTTGATATTTGGGCTGTGACTTTCGCACAATGGTCTACACGCACAGAGTGACGTCACGATGTCTTTGGTATCGGCGGGTGCTCCAGTTTGGTTCGTTGTAATAGAATTGACTTTCGGGCTATACCCAGCCACCTGATTGCAAAAATGTTTCCCCCAATTATTTAAAAGTCTTAAGTCGCACTGAATGTGATTAATTGAGAATCAAATTAGAGCGGTAATTTTTTCTTACAAAGTAAATTTATTTCAGACGCAGTCACGCCAATTTGCCACACTTAGTATTGGTGATGAATGATTAAGCAGAAATAGATTAGTACGTACGCATCTCTTTCAAGAGAGACTGGGGGAATATTGTAAAAATATTAACTACAAGAAAATTTATTTCAAACTTCGTAAGATGCGTAATAATCGCTGTGAAATCAGCACGAAACACAAGACGCTTCCCAACGCGTTACAATTTTACAGTGGAATTGAACTCATTTGCCATGGAGACAATAATATATACACAAACTTCAAGAGTTAACCAGTTGTGCAAAAGATACAATATACGTATGATTTGAACTCGAGGGCTGTCGGGGATTGTGGGAGACAATGAGTGATTCACCCAAACAGAATGATGTTCTGTTCATTTGAAGTGGCCACATAGCCACAAGCTTTGTGCATGCCTTCTGTAAATCTGGCAATTTTTAGTAAAAAAAAGAAAAAATATTAAAATGTAAAAAAAAATCACAAGGCTATAGTATTTATATTATATACAATGTCTGCAGAAGCTACGGACACTTTTACCAGCATTCACGATGTTTTGCCCAGTATTGTTAAAGTGTGTGTTTTCATGTAAAACAAAAAAATCACATTATTACTCTAATTGATAACAACGATAATTATGATATTGTTTAAGTTTATTTTGCAAAAAATTTTGCATGTGAATTGAGACATAAACTATGCAGATAGATAAGCAAATGTGGATGTTATTTCACTCATTAATGATGACGTGACCGCCTTCTTGTCTGTGTCGTGTGTGATTTACTGCACACTGTCGCGAAATTCATTTGGATTGCCGAACGCACCTTGCGTGAATTTAAAGTTACGCGAATGTCGCCTATGCCCGATCTCATCAGATTCTTCGGGGCTAAGCAGGGGGCTGAGCCCCGATGGGTTTTTAAAAAATAATTTGCTGCAGGCTGCTGCCTGGGGCCCGTACTGTGGATATCGGATGGCAGTGCAACAAAAGCAATCCGAATCAGAATCAACATATTTGCTTATACTGGAGGAATACGATGAGCTACAATGTTCCTTTTGACAAATGCCCAGTTATTTTTGCTGAACCACACTACGTTCGCAAACGTTTGTGCTACCCCTCCTTCGCTAACCCGCTCTGGCCAGCGTGCCAATTAATTATTTTTAAAAAACACCGTGATCCGTACGATGTGGGGGGAACCCTCATCCGGTGGTGGACTGACAATTGGGCTGTACATGTGCATACAAATGTATGTGTGTATGTTGAACTTCTTTCGCACCGTACTTCGTCAACCGTGCTAATCGGATGCGCACATGTTAATCAAGCCAACATCTGTAAATCTCAGATGTGGAATAATCAAAATGAAGCGGATATTTTTTTGTTAGTTCAAGTCATTGCTAATCGGACTGCATCAGTCGACTCACTTCAACTTGAGAACACGGTTTTTAAGTTGTGGGTGGTTTGCCTGGATTTGAACCCAGAATTTCAGTGGTGGAGGCTCATGTACTGTGATGGGGCATTACGTAGTCCACTGAGGCAGCTGGTCACCTCAACAATTCCTTAATTTTTTTTATCAGTCTAAAAATGGGTCCTACGAACGCAACGAGGTGATTCCACACACAAGACACCACGCCACCCCTCCAGGTCACTCTTCAGTGATTGTGTTTATATCGGATACAATTGAGTATCCTCTTACTGTAATGGACTGAGAGTCAGATTAGTAACTCAATGCGACAGAAACGCGAGCTCAAATCTATACGTTGGTGTACAGAAGATACCGCGTTTAAAATTAAATATGAAATATATTTGGCCACCGACACCACTTCACGCCACCCTCCACCGCTCTCGACTAGCGGGGTCGACTGCTGTGAATGGGTTATTACTTTCACAGTCATTGTCTGCACCGTTTCGAAACAGCCACTGCTCCGACGGGATTTCATTGTACGTTTTAGGAAGGGAAGGCTTAAGTTATTTTCTTTTTCCGAGCACAGAGGCGCACAGAGGCCCAGTGCGCATCCGCTTTAGGAGCGACAATTCAGCGGGGTTGAAACATCGAAGAGAATTGCAATAATTCTCGCAAAATCGTTATTTAAATTTGGGAAGGGAGATACATTTTTTTCACCCGGGCATTTCAGATATAAAGTCAGCGTCGTTGACATCAGTTTGCTTAGTGCAACGTCTATACAGTACTTGGTGTAACATCTGGCTGTTAATTCAGAAATGCCACGTGTAAAGCTGTCAAAGCCCCACCGGGACTCGACAACTCAAACGTGGTTTCTCTGGAGACTGGGCACTGCCAGTGGAGCCTGGAATTCCACCACTGCCTCTGGCTCAAGAGCAGAGGTGAGCACGCGCCACCCGATTCTCGTTCGGGCATTGCATGTACTCGCTTGCCATGGACGACACCGCCATTTGGTTGCGCAGCTTGTACGTGTGTAATGACTTCACACACTTCTCTTGAGATGGCACTTTATTGAAGACACGTTCGCTTGACACCAGGCGGAGCCCCCCACTGCAACAGCCCCGAGTCTCCCTTTTATACCAACACGAGGCCACGCCCCCCTTCTCGAACCTTCTCACTGACTCTGGACGCTCGCTCCACCGGCAGACTCCACCGTCCTCTTCCCTCACCTGACCACGCCCCCCTTCTCGATCATTCCCGTAGCCACCGGTCCCTTTGCACTCACAGCTGACTCCCCTGTCATTACCTCCCGTGGCCACTGGTGCATCCGTACTGCAGGCTGACCTCCCTGTCATTACCTCCAGTGGCCACCAGTGCCCTCACACCGCATGCAGGCTCTATTCTCATTACACATGCAAAGCCCCTGTATCAGTCCGCTGCTGGACGAGGGCCTCCCCACGCTATGGGGTTAGTGATGTGGCCGCGTGCGGGTCGTTGATGGCAGGGCGGATAGACGGCTAGAACGTAGTCCAGTAAAACAGTGGATGTTGCGGCACTGCCCTCTGCTGTCTACAAACCCAGCCCCACGGCACCGTTCCTCCTGCTCATTTGCACCAAGACTTTAAAAGTATATATTTTTCCCAGGTAAGGCCCACTGTGCTGTGTAGCTTTTTTTCAGAAGCGACCTCGCCACAAATGATAGCTCAACGAAGTGGCTTATCACCTGGGCATTTATTGCTGCCAATGATTCTAAAGCGCACGACCATAGGAATAGAGACAGTGCAAACTCCTAGGGTCCGAGCAACAATCGTGACCCAAGACTTTGACCTCCTCCCTTGCCTACCTCCTCCTCGACACACACAGGGTCCGACCAATGCTGAAACTGTTCACGCATAGACATTCACACACACTCACATGCGTAGAGATATTCACACAAAGACAAAGATCCCCTGCATAGCTTGAATAGACTTTTGGGGCAAGTGCTGGTAGTGAGCACCTACAAAAGACCAGTTTTGCGGCTAGCATCATGCCCGGCCGCCTTTGTCTCCCTCCCGGCGATGTTTTGCACACCGCATCGTGTGCGCATCGTGATGCTGAGGCCCAGGACCGGTTCAGATAATCGTCACTGGTGTTGCCCAGTGAGCAGGGAATCGAACTCGGGCCACCGAGTTGGTAGCGCGGCGTGCTAACCACAGCTCCACCGACCCCCCCCCTCCACCCACACAGATGTCCCACACAGATGTCCGCACGTGGAAATCGTGGCATTCACATTGGAGACCAAATTAAAATAAACTCTCAGTGGAACTGCAAGGATACCGACACCCACCGGCATCCTATGAGAGACTCGCCCGTCCCATCGAGTTTTAAGAGGAGATCAGAGATCCGGCAGCTTTATCATTGTCTCGAGAACCCCATCATTGTTGTCGAGAGACTCCCATCAGGGACCAGTCTGTTAGTCGTTTGCTGTATCGTCTCCAGACCCCCATTATAGACCTGTGTCGCGGTGCTTCTTATTGTCTGGAGACCCCAACAGAGAACAGAACGTTACATTATTGTCCGGAAACCCCCATCGGAGACAGGTCCGAGAGTCTATGCTATGCCAATATCTGTGTTTACGATCAATATGTGAGTCACAGCAGGTAATAAACACTGAATGAAGCCACATTGGAACGTTGCTTTTCATTAGGAACTTGAGTTTAACATGTACCTGATCGGCTCACAAGTAGCGATGTAACGTGTATCCCTCTAAGACCGAAGCAGGAGGATTTATCCCCCAACCCTGGCTCTCCGCCTGATGATGCTAGTTGGAATTACCGGCAAAACGTCGTACTCGAATTGTGAATGTTGTGGGTTTACTCTACAACACACTGATGTTCTGAACTAGTAACGAATTGGCACGTTTTGTTTCTGTGGCAAACCTCACGAATTGGCTGTGTCGGGTGGTGGCGGGTTTAACGACACACATTTATATTTACGCGATCTAACCCCCCAAAAAGCGCTCTATTATGGATTAGGCACTTGCTTGGCATTAACCCCGAAATAACAACGCATGGATATAAATAAATAAACATCCATACCTAATCTAGAGACATCGTAGTGACTGTTAGGAAAAGTGGCCATAACGGACCACAGCCAGCGGAGGGAAACGCAACGTCGGGGGAGGACATCTCCCGCGGAGATGGGGGGCCAGGAAATCAATTCGTGTAGCCCAAGGTGCCAGCGTTGCATCGCAAGACCTCGAGAGAGATGACGATGCCACGGGGGACGCCTTCACCCGGCAGTGGACAGACGACGGGGCCGATATAATCAGAGCCTTGTCGTGAGGACTCTGCGGAGCTGAACGTCTTCGGCGAGATCAAATTTCTTCGTCCGCGTACGCCAACGCCGATCTGCCGCGCGCGCTCCGGGCACCTTCTGCTCGCTCGAAGCTGGCCCTCGATAAAAGTGGAATCGAGATATCATAAAAGTCGAGACATCACCACCCGCGGAGCCAAGGTCAGAGGAGGCTTGGTGTTGATGCTGCACCGACCACTCTCTCGTGGTATAGTGACCCCGCCCTCAATAGGCGCTCACGAACAACGATTGCACCAAAGTTCTACCAAGGCTAAAGAGGGGGGGGGGGGGGGCAGGGGGATGTTTGCGTTTGTGCGAGCACGCTTGATGGTGGGTTGCTCTAGTGCAATGTGTGTGTGAGAGATCAATACGCTTCAGAGCAATCTTTCGGGCTCGAGAAACGCATTTGGTTAATGCATTGTATTGATACACACACTTAAATGTATGGAGACTGTACACGCGTACAGAAACAACAACAGCAGCGACAACAACCGTCATTGCGTACGAAGCGATCTTGATGTTTGAGATGATGCCTGCGCCAGGGTTGGTACCAGCCCCGAAACGTCGGGTAAGGGGCTGGAGGGGAGCTGAGTTACCGCAACCCCTCCCCCACCCCCTGCTTCTGCCCCGTTGCTAAATGATTACAGTTAAGTCAAACAATAATAATTATTCAGCAGTAGGCATCGGCAAGCCTTGTCTCATGCACACATGGGGTTAGCGCCAGGGAGCGGGACGCACGATGGACAGAAGCAGATCGCTTCGTTGCTCAATCTGCTTCGCGTTCAACATTTTGTTTAAATTTTGATTTAAAGTTTTCGTGACTGCAGTAATTCATATTCTTAGTTCTTTCGGTAAAGTCACGTTGAAGGGAAGCAATAAAATAATAAAATATATATAAAACAATTAAAATTCTCACGACGTTTCGACCATAACACAAACGGTCGTCATGGTCGAAACGTCGTGAGAATTTTTATTGTTTAATATATATTTTATTATTTTATTGCTTCCCTTCAACGTGACTTCACCG